CACTTCCACTTGTGTGGTTTCAACTAATAGAGACATTCCAGCCACGTCAAGTCAGCTAATATCCTCCTCTCCTCATCCACCAGAACAAGCTCACGTTAAGAGAACAAGTATTAATTCTGAGCTATAATATGTACACACAACTGAGGAGTAGGAAGAAACCTACCTCAACCATCAACCAACCTTTACTTTGCATATTAAGAATGATCATCTTCATTCGGAGATGAACCAAGACGTACGTACTTACGTTGATCATCTCTCCAGTAAAACAACAAATGTGTTAAGTAATATTGTCCAACAGTGGAGGAGGAAAGGTGGGAGGTTGGAGAGATCATCCATTCGCTGTGCTTATCACTCATTTCATTAGTAACTTGTGCCAAAGTTAAATTGGCACAAATTTCCTAAGAATTTGGCAAAGCTACGTTTTTCAAATTTCTGTAGCTCTCGAGTTTGGTCAAAATTTACGGAGCTCATCATTTCGGGTATCCTCTAAAATTTTGCATATTGTCTCCGAAAATTTTTACCTAACCTCAAGGAAAGAGTTCCGGAAGTTTGAAAAACGTAGCTTTGATAACTGCCTATTCACTAAGGCACCAACTTATTTTGTGAGTTGGCAGAAAGTAGATTTTATCATGTCGTGAAATATGCTCTACTTCCATCTATAAATACACATTATGCAAAGCAATTAAAAAGTGTTGCCCCACAATTTATGACTGTCCCCCTCTCCATAATAAAAAATATTGCCACCATGCATGTACATACATATGTACTGTTCACTCCTACCAACATATTCATATTTACTAGCCCCTCGTGTTTATTACGATGTATTTGTTGCAAAAACTGAAACCGGTCACATTTATCAAACCCGTGTGTTCGTTCATTACGTAAAATGTGCTGCACTTGAATGGAAGTGATCTGCCCACACTAAAAATCGATTTCTTTCTCCCCTTTCTTTCCACCGTGGTGGAGCAGGCCTGACACGAACATCCAGCCAACCGCACCTACTATCTCAGCAGTCCAGTCGCTTTTTTTTCTCTAACTGAGAAATTTTCATTTGTGCAAATGCATCATATTTATTTACGACGGGGTGGAGGTGGTGGTGGTGGTGGAGCGAATTCCTTCCTCAAATAAAGCAACATGTATGCGATTCATGTAATAGGAATTTCCTAATGGAGCTTCCCCTCAAGAATTTTTATACTGATGATGACTAAACAGACTGCGAGTTGCGTGAATGAAAAGGGTTGACCATCATTAAGTCAACGTGGAAAAGAAATATTGGAATGCAGAATTTTCGACACAACGTTTCCAAAAATGTGACTGACCGGAGTTCACGGCTTTCAAATTAGTTGAGCCAAAAGTGTCAAAATTTCCGTGTTTGTTGTTTGTTCAGGAATAAATGTCAAATTCGTAAAGGATTGCCGAAGGGATGGAAAATGTTACAAAGCATTTTGAGGGTTCAGACAAATATTTACCTTATTTTGGGTACAAATCTGACACAAGGGAGTCCAAATATTGAGATGGAATTATGCCCATCCATCCAACTAAAGTCAGCAATGATCTAAATATTTGTTGCTTTTCTTCCGATTTGACAAATTCCACGGATTATGAATGAGTAAATGTAAAGATGGATGAGTCCCGATTGGGTGATTTGTGATGATCTCAATTACGAACGGTGAATGATATGAGAAATTCAATTAGGATTACAAAGTATGGTAATAATTTCAGAAAATAGGAATATTTGTACATATTTATTAACATTCCACTCTCAAATTTTCTGACATTTTCGGAAATTTCTCAAGGTTCCTACATAATTCGAAATATCGGTATATGCTGCAACCTCTATAAATAGCGAGCTGCGTGTAAAAGGACAATTTATTAGCTTAACAAATCCCCAATTATTGGCATGTTGTTGTCTCCTGCTCTTGATGAATGAAGGATCAAATTCCAAATGTAAAATATCATCCCATCCAGAAAATGATAAATGATTTCTACTTACAACTCATTTACTCAAAATAAATATGTAATGTCCTGGATGATCATTACGGAAACTACAGACAGACTACATAGCTAGTGCTATTTAGTGATCCTTTCGTGTCACTTTTTTCCCTACGCACTTTCCACCATGGAATATATACAAAGGAAGGAAGTCTATTAACCAAATTAAATTACGCTACACACACAGCCAGCGAAATGATAAGAATTACGTAACGCCAAATTACTTGCCTCCCTCGCCACACGGACTGGTGGACCCATTATTCGTAACATTATAAAAATGCCGGGCTGATTACAAGGTTGTGAACATGATGGCTTACAGAAAATGAATGTTAATGAAGCAGAGTAAAAATGGTTTAATTATTTATTATGAATATTTTAATTATTGGGTCTTTTTGGGCATCCGGGAGGGAAAGTGCGCGATCAGGGAGGTCGTCGTCGTCTTCGTCGCAGGCCTCGTTCTCAGGAAGCGTTTAATTAGCGAGTGTTATGTGAACTGAGCTCAGTAAATGGTCATTAATTCATTTCAGTGTGGAGTCAGTCGGTTGATTTATTCACGAAATGGACATTCGAACCATGGACTTTTTTGGCCTGGTCATTAATATGTGTTGTGCATTTCTCCATCCAAAAGCCAGGCCAGGCTGGTTTAAGGCGATATTGAGTTGACCAACTGTCATCAGTTCATCACCTCACGCAAGCCATCCTACGACTACGAGCATACATAAGTAAAGATGATGATGCGATGGATTTAAAATACGTAAAAACAAGGAGGTCGGTAAATGAATGAATGATGATCAAAGGGCGGATATGTATTTATTTACGGACAAACGCCAAAATATGTGCGAAAAATCATAAAAATAAGAATTTTCTCCTTTGTATTTCTAAATATAATGCTCTGAATTTTTTTGTGGGCGAATTTCTTTGAGCAAAAATATGTCCATTTTTGAAAAAATGTCTAAAATATTTACGCCTTTTTAAAATAATGTTGGAAATATTTGTAAATATATGTGTAGGACAGAAAACCTAGAAATATGTAACAATATGTGGAAATGTTTTAAAATTTTTGTGATCCATAAGAGTTAGGAAAATCTGACCGTCGATCGTCATCAAAAGAAAAAGGTGGAAATAAATCCATATCCGCCCTCTGACCATGATGCCTGCAGAGATGGGCACATAAAAAAAGTATGTTCGTATGTGTGGCTAATGTCGTGCCCGGATGAAGCAAGTTTATTTTATACGTAATAATGCTTTGTAATCACCTGATAACAAATCCAATTTGGCTTTAATGGGATTAATCTGGGTTTATTTAGTTCAACCAGGGATTTCGTCCCTTCGCACTAAATGGGCCGAAAATCCTCATGTTCTTTTTTACGACATTTCTATTTCTGTACATAAATTTAATACGACCGTCAAGAGGTTAAGATATCAGGCCAAAAAAGGGTTAAAAATCCTTCCCCTGAACTCTCGTCTGCCTCCGCAATGTCCCGACCGAATTAATTCCGGCTCGTGTCCCCGACACAATTTTACTTTTTCGTTATGATGCAATCAGACAGATATCATACTCCGTCAGCCAGTCAGCCAAGTGATAAAGTTGACTTTAATTCTCACTTTACATCAGCTCAGCTCGATACAAGTTCATCTTTTGTCGTTATATTTTATAAGAAAAGATCTGCTTCCCACAGTGATTGGCCTCTTCCAATTACGACACGGGACTAAATATCGAGCAATAAGTGGTGTCATATTCCTTGTAGGAAGAGTGGATTAACATGTAATAAGGCTTTTAAGGGCCAATTTGCCCACTGAAGGGGAACGATCAATGGGAAGAATAAGATATCGAGTTGGGAAGGATGGATTTTCTTTAAAAAATTTTTCAGTCTGGTTGGTTCATCATATCATTTTCTTAATAATTAATCAAGTCCGACCACCACAAAGTTGCACATGTTAGCAAAACTCCCGACAAAGCCGGATTAGATCATCACACTAGAACAATAGCAACAAATATGTTAATTAAACTTAAACGATTCTGTCCATGTTAGGCATCAATGCAAAAAAAAACGAAGCCAGGTGGTGGTGGTGCATTGTAGGGTTTGTTAGTTTACGTCTTTACTCCAATAATATTCAATGATCATGATCTCGCCAGTTACGAAGGAAGACATGAATCGATGCACGAATAAAATAATTCTTCACGTGTTGGATACAAAACAAGATGAAAAGAAATGCAGTCTTAATTAAGCAATAAAGTGAATAATAAAGGCCACCAGGTGCAATTTTGCATAAATTTAGTTGTATGTATGTATGCAAGTTAACGCAGTTTGCATTTGTAACATATTTTAAAAACATGTAATTATCGATTAATAAACATACATAAACAGAGGGCGAATATGTATTTATTTTCAATTTTCTCAGTTGGTAACAAATTTTGTGGGTGTGTTCCCTAACTCTTATTTGTCACATAAATTTCAAAATATTCTCATATATTGTTAAATATTTCTAGGTTTTCAGACATATAAATACGTAACTTTATAAATATTTCTGCTATTATTTAAAAAATAAATAAATATTTTAGATATTTGTGCAACAATACATATATATATTTTGTAAACATTTCAACTCCAACGAGACGATTTTTTTGCTCAAAGAAATTCGGGTACAAAAAATCTAGACATTATATTCAGAAATATAAATATGAATCTGCAATATATAATGAAATATAAATCTGCGAAAATTTTACATTAACGACTTTGAAGCTTGATTTTATACTTAAATATGTAAATGTGTGTCCATTCCATACCACCAACAAAGAGAGCACCTGATTAATTATCAACGGCTTTTTCATAAAACGCAGCCTAACTTCTTTTCTCCCATTTCTTCCAATTCTTTGCTCTCTTGATAATTACAAAAATGCGGATAATATTCTATTACATAATGTTTTGTGCCGGACATTCATTCATAATTGAATCATAATGTTTAACTGAAAACTGAAATATTTCTTTTACTTTTGTTGATTATAGGAAGAAGTAAGTTCCCTCCTACACTCACCTCAACCATGAAAAAATGTGTGTTTGTGTGTGTATGAGCCCAGGATGATGCCTCCTAGGATTCTTTCAAAGTTGTACATAAACTTCTTGTATGATTTCAAGTTTGACCCATTTTTGAGGCATACGTAGTTTTTATATGACAGAAATTTATTAAGATTGACACCAGAATTGCAGAAGCTACTTTTTTACTACCTACATACATATTTCTCTCCTGAGTGACACCCCTCTTTCCCCCTGACAAGTGGGAATGACAACCATATAGCCTAAAAGTTTAGATAGGAAACAGGCAGGCAGCCGATGACACCGCCGCTTGACAAGCAAATTTTGACGGAAGAAAGGTTACAATTACTTAGTTTGAATTATTTATTGGGTGAGCACGAAGATGGAAACTTTGAAATGTATGTTGCCCGTTTTTGATCTGAATTCACACCTGGATCCAAAATTAGACACGTTTTTCGCATAATAATCCAAGTTTTCATATTATTTTTTTAATAGTTTATCAGCCAAATGAATAATACTTGCCCTAAAAATATGCCATGAAGCCCACTCAATTGATTATTGGCGAGTATGACATCGCTCCTCTTCGATACAATCACAAATACAACAATGGATTTTCCCCCGTTGTGAAAGTAGATCGATGAGTCTGTATCATCACACACTTTCTCCTCGCCTCGTGACATGCATTCCTTTCTCGGCAGCACAAAGGATAAATAATAATGCTGTTGAGGAAAATTCCTCAATTTCAGACGTACTGAGAGCGTAATAACATGTCCGGACAGCATTTTAATCGATGCGCCGCATGAAGTAAGCTATTTCCAGACATATCTTCGTCGCAGGGAACAATGGACAATTGAGTGGCCAATGTCCGCAGTGTCCAGTTCACCCAAAGCCAATCAACTCATTGCCAGATTGACACTATTGTCCACCCCCTCTGTCCGGGTGGTTCTTGGTGGTGGCAGTCCCTTCCTAATGTCAATTTCATGGACGTCCCAATTAACTTGGGATACGCATACTTACTTTTACTGCTTCCGAGCTGGGGAATTGATTCATCAATTTTGTATTGATCAAGAAAATTTATCCCGCTGCGGAGGAGCCATGGATTGCTTTATATCTAATTCAGAGTGTACGCTACATATATTTTTTACAAGGACGGCAGTCATAACGCATTTAATTTGTGGAGATATTTAGTCCTGAGAGAGAGGATTAAACAAAATCAATACTGGACAGCTAATCAAGCAAAAATACATTCATTTTATATAACGCACATAACACGGAATCCTTTTAGACATGTTTTTTATGCCTACACAACATAACTGGTCAGCAGGCTCATCTAGATAATCCAGCCATTTGGGTGGGCAGCTACACATGTAGCTATCAAAGCCGTATGTATGTAGCTCCAATTAGATTGGATTGGATGAATGGATGGATGGACTCATTTTCTCTCTCGGTTGGAGAAAACGTGGCTTACGAAGGAAGGAAGAAAACCGGCCCCGCCCTTCGTGGGGAAAGTTAGAGAAAGGATTGGGTTATCTTGATTTGAAAAATTTGAAACTTTTTTCCAGAGATTTTTATCCAGTGAGGAGTTTATCATTTCCATATCATGATTTCACATTGTCATTTTGAAGTGTTTTTTATAGAGTTTTCTTTTATTAATGCAACAGCAAACTACAAAAACTCATTAGCGCGTTGAACATTTTTAGGGAGTTTCCAAATTCATGTCTTCCAATTCAATTACACACACCACTCGCGCATCGGCATCACTTCTTCTCTCAATTAATTTATTAGACTTTATCATTCCATGGCTGAGCTGAAATTTAAGCCGCTTTCAGTGTAACTTTTTGATTAATGAAGTTTTTGACATTTTCACATCCATCCATCGAGCGAACGAGTGAAAAGAAAGGCAGGAGGAAGGAAGGAAGCGTGTAAATAAATTGAGAGGAAAAGTCAGATCAATCATTATATTGGTTACTTTGTCATTATTATCACCACCAAAAGTCAGTTTTTCTCTTCTCTGCTTCCACTGCTGATTGGCATATTTGGAATTCAGTTTCAGTTGTCAATTACCGTTTGATGTTGTCCAAGGTTGATTAGCAATTTGAGGAAATGAGTGCATCACCACCAAGCTTTTTTATGGGTTGCAAATTGCAATTCCTTGTAGTGGAGAAAGCACGGAGGAAATAAATTTGGTGAAACGACCTCGCGTGGGTTAATTATTTAGGCCAGGAAAAAAAGGAGAATGGAAGAAAAGTTTAGTTGAGTGAGGAGATTAAACATAAAATTTGAGCTATTATTTTTTTTTCAAACTCGTGAGTAAAGTGTAGAATTATGTGGGCGAAGAAGGTTCCCAAATTCCTATAATTTCCATTTGTGGGTATAAAAAATTGACAATGTTTTATCGCGACCCAGAAATAAAGCGAGATATTAGCATGAAAAAAGCCAATATTAATGTTTAAAACAAAGCCATTTAACTTGATTAATTGTCTGGTATGTATCTTCCCACTAAAAAGCTTTACTTGGCCTAAAATTACATCATGTTGCGAGTCGTTAATTCCAGGTTTTGTCGTAATTCGCAATTTGCAACTTTTTGCAAATTTCTTTTACAATTTGACAAGCTACTTATTACCTAATTTCAAGTTTTTAGCACGAAATGTAATTCCTCATACATGCAAAACCAATTTCCTCTTCACTCATGTCATATCACATCGTCGTCCTAGTTGAAGCTGGCTGAATTTGGCCACAACTTTTTAATTTCAAGTGTTACACTCACCATTTCTTACGAGCTGCATATGTACTACGTATGAACAAACTGCAATTATTATTTTTTCCCTGTATTACTTATACATACTTCAACTTCACGATCCCAATCTAAAAAACTTGAGCCGGACGATAAATAATAAAGTTGGTAGTTGACAATTCACAATTTTACAAGTAATCACCGCTAATCACGCAATTTACTTTTTGTCCGAGGTGAGCTCGCATTCAGCAAGAATGAAATAATGAGAGCTTTACATTACATTACATTTATTTGTCTCCTCTTCAGTGACCGCGGAAGCGAGGGGACAATGTCCTCACGGTTATTCGATGTCCGCATCATCTCCCCATCTTATCTAAACCCCTCCCTCCATCCAACAATTTTAATGTCCCCACATGTCCCCACCCCTTCCGCGGCCACTGCTCCTCTTATATTATCCCAATGACAAATATTTTACTTCATTTAAGCCGCATTTTTCATATGTACGGCTGAAATTTGTTCTTTTTAATTGCGTGTAATGAACGTTCTCTCAATTGTCAAGTCGCTCACAATGGGTCATTTTATTTCATGTGGAGAAAAGAAATGTGGCCGTGGTGATAGCATCATTCACTTTTTTGATGTGATTAAACCTAGCGTGGCTGCTGATGAATGGCTTCCCATGAAGAATGCAGCAATTAATTGGATCAACCCAGATTGCGATTAAAAATTAACCTGTTACTTCAAAATAGTTATAAATGTGGGGTTCCTTCGCCGTGATGACATTATTGTTGTTGGACGTACACGTACATAAATAAACATCGGTCTTTCCCAGCAATTTAGTTATTTTTAGGAGTAATTCTAGCTACCAGTGTATGTATTATTACTTGTTATCTAATCCAGTGCACGTATAAAGCAGCTATTTTTATCAAACTCATCACCACAAAAATTGGTGTAGCTCCATATAAAATTCTGACCGAATACCATAAAATGCACACTCTTACATATGCACCCTTCGATTCGATACATATTTCCGGCGGTGGACATTTTACTACTCGCTCGCTGGTAGAAATCCACTTTATTTTACGATTGTATTTACACGCTCATCATCATCATCATCGTCCGTCGTACCGTTCGTGACGAAGGGATGAAGAGAGCAGGGGTCCATAAAACGTAACATGAAACAAGTCAGCAGCGAATAATGGACATTTGCATTTTCATTTGAATCCATTTCATTTCAAATCATGCAATATTATTTTCAACCATTTCTTTCATTTCATTGTTGCATGTTCTCAAATAAGTTGTGTCCATCGGGCAGGTCGCAGGCTGCCATTGGACTTTAGCTCACAATGCGAAGAAAGGCTTGAGTTTTTTTAATGGAGTCATTTACTTTCTTAAACCGTGGTCATCCACATGTTTCCATTTGAAATACATCGCGTTACATTTTAGCACACCACGACCAATCGCAATTAAGTTGTCAGTTGACTTTTTAATTTTGCTCCATTTTTTTCATTGTTTCGAGGTTTTCCTCCTCTTTATCATAGTACAAACGAGTAGGTATCATTTCACCATGAAGTGTGGAGGCATGCATGCATGACCTTATCTGTCATCTCCTCGTTCATTATTATCTTTTTTTTACGGGACATATATCACATTGAGAAATTAAATAATTACTTTGTCCCCTCATTTCCCTTTGCATACATAACTCGTCCATCTCTTCTCCTTCCATTGTTTCAGTTAAATTAAATTAAGGGTTTTAATAAATTGATGTCATTTTATTTCATGCCTATTTGCCTTCTCCCCATTTTCCTGCCATGATTATGGTTTTGATTCCTTAATTACTTACTACAAAGATTTATATCGTCGGTATTTATGCAAAAGTTGTTGGATGAGTGGTAGCTAGTCGGAAACATAAGTTGTGGGATCCATTGCTTATGTGTCCCTCATGGCTGTCGGTCTGTCTGTCGATCACGCTAGTAAAACTAATCCAATCGACTTGAAATCTTGACAAACGTAGATTATGCAAAATAAGGAATGAAATTCGAAGATGAGCAAAATTTGTGTAAAAAATACAAAAAGTTGGATTCAATTCATCAATAACAGCCTGACTCGGGCCAAATACGTTTTTTTAGGAGATATGCGACTCTACATCGTTTTCCCCGAATGTTCATCTGACAACTTTTTACGACCAGCGACGATGTATAATTTGGAGATTTTATTTTTAGTTTTGAAAGATGTTGAAGCATAAATTCCCAAGCACTTATTCCCAAACACTGAACATTTTTTTCAGAAAAGAGGGATGTTTCTGTTCTAGGTCCGCGCGCGAGGAGGGAGCGGAAGAGCAAGGAGAAGGAGGTGGACGAGAAGCGGCCAAGGACAGCCTTCACCGCAGAACAGTTGTCCCGACTAAAGAAAGAGTTTGACGAAAATCGCTACCTCACGGAAAAAAGGAGACAAGATCTCGCCAGAGAGTTGAGACTTCACGAAAATCAGATCAAGGTGGGCATGAATTTCTAACTTTTGTTTCAACCTTAAAAAAGCGCTTTTGAAAAAATGGGACTAATTTTTTCTATTTTTTTAAATTTTAGATTTGGTTCCAGGTAAGCATGATTTGATATCATTTTTGTTTTAAAAAATTATTACATCTATATAATTCAAATTTTGAATTTTGGGAAGAACTGTCATCACAAATCGAAACTTATTGAGATGCTAATTTTACTTTCACTTTGTTAGAATAAGCGAGCCAAGCTGAAGAAAGCGAGCGGAACTCGGGGAGGATTAGCCTTGCAATTAATGGCTCAAGGTTTGTTTTTGTTGCACTGACTAATACGTACATAATTAACACATATTGGGAAAAGCTAGATAAGCGAAATGTAATTTGTACCCATTAAATTGCAAACTATGAAGTTAATTTCATACTACCCGGAGTGGAGATATCGCAGCGTATGCTCTCCGATTTTGACCAAACTAGTGTCATCCGATCACAAATTTAATTAGTATGAAATTTGCAAAAAAAGGGTCTCCCAATGCGCAGGTTTAGCAGAGATATTTGCATCCAAAGAGGAGAAAACGCGGCTTAAAGTTGACAAATGTCACAAAATTTATTACTCGTTTTCTTCTCTTCGGATGCAATATTTCCGCCAAACCTGAGATTTGCAAATTTAACATTAATTAAATTTTGACACTAATTTGGCTACAAATTTTTTAGCAAACGTTGGGAGTCCTCCATTGTCAATACTTTTATTATTTATGTCAACTTCAGCCCAAATTTCTAAAAGTCCTTGTCCAATTTGTCATAAATTAGTTCATTTTTAATTCCAATCGACCAAAGGTGAACTGATTTATCCATTTTTTAAACTACCAAATTCCACCTCATAACATGTCCTATTTCCATATTTCCAGGACTGTACAATCATTCAACCATCCCAAAAAGTGGGGGCGAGGAAGACGATTCCGACGAGTAGAGAAACAAACTTTTACTGGTAATTAATTTAATCCGGCAAAAAAAAATTCTCTCAAGTCTGGCAAGATTTGCATGAAAATTTTCAAAATTGTATATTTATTCCCGTCAGTTTATTTAAAAAACTACGCTGTGAAATACCGTGTAAGATAAAATAGCTTAGAAAAGCCTCACCCAAACCACATCCACCCAATAATCTCATTTTTTAGTTCCTACATCATAATTACACATATGTAAATCCATCGTGACCGCAATATAGTATTAGAAAAACAGGTGTATCATATCATGTGTGATGATAAGTCGCTCTTACAATTAGTTAATTAAATTTGATGAAAATGTTACAAATAACTTAACTTATGTCATGAATGTGGTGAGTAGAAGCTCAACATAATATTTGCAATGTTCGATTGGATGCAATACTAGAGACGAATACATCGTAGGAATCTTGTACCAATATTAAAGTAGGCTAACTAAACATGTACTGTAGAACTGCCCAAACATTAATTATTATAATTATTAATAATTACAATAATACATACATACAACGCAGAAAGAAAAAAAGTCGTACAAATAAATGACAAATTTATTAACTCTTATTTCTAATTGGGGCAGACTAATAACCATTTTATGTTAATAACGTTTGACGAAGAAAAGAAAAGACCGAGTAGAAATGGCGAATCGGAAAAGCGAAAGAAATAATAAAGTCATTTTTAAGAATATACCTACCTCTTTAAAAAAATGTTGATTTTGTCCCATAAATATTTTTCTCATAATAAAAATACCTGAGTGAAAGTCATAAAAATATCTGCACTCGCAAATATTTGCGAGTAAGTCATTCAACAAAGTGGAATTTACTGAGAGGCAGGTAAGCCTGGAGAATGGACGAACAGGTGGATAGCAACATTTTCCATACGCACGTCTTGGACCCATTTTAATTAGACCTCTCACGAAAAGAGACAATTAAGTGATTGGATACCATCAAGCATGCACCCTTTTAATTTAAAACCTGTCAACGCACCAACTCTGAAGGAAGGAAAGTGTGACAGAGTGAGTGCACCTCGTATTTACTTATATATTTAGTCCGCAAAAATATTTGCAAGGGGGATTAGAATTGCATACTGGAATAAATGACGGAAGGGGGAGGGCTACCGAAACTTGGGAACTTTTGGCTAAAGTAATCGCCACCATTGCAGTTTCATATCAACGTCAATAATGTCACGTATCATGCAATTTGATTCACTAACTATTTACATCACGTGAAAATATTCAACAATTTAAATTCTACATGCATAAATTATACTAAAATTTGCCCCCAACCGGCGCACGAAAATGCGCAGAAATATGGAGCTGAACACCATGCGTAGCTACTTGTCACTCCTTCCCCTTTAATAACTCCTTACTTTTAAGTGACATCTAAAAAACATCATCAACTAAAAACAGAACATCATCACACCAAACCAATTATCGTGGTTGGTGTCAGGATCCTTCTTTCAGCCCTGGACCAATATTGGCCTCCTCGCCCCATCCCATTCCATACATTTACTTGTACAAATATAAGTAGCTACTGCGTTTACGTACGTAAATACATTAATATTTTCTCCCCCTGCTTGCTCGGCCTCCCTCCCAGCGGAAAACTAATTAGTGAGGAATGCAATAAATTCTGGGGAATTTTCTCGTCGTCGGAGAGCTGGTGATGTTGGCCGTGACAGGACAGAGACGGGCGAGGGCAGGAGGAGTTAAGTGATAATTAGCTTGTATACATATCTACGCGTACGAGTAATAGCGGTGCTCGGAAGTTGGAGAAAATTTAACAGGGCTACAAAAACTTGAGCACAATTTGCCTCCAGTCGGAGAAAAGTTGTAATTGGAAATTACTTGGGGTGTAAAGTGTAGACCGTGAAAAAGTTGAAATCCTCCTAATTAAATTACTCTCTCGACAAATTCTGTCCTTCTCTCCAGCAGGATTTTGTGTGGCATGCTCTGCACAATACGCCAGAAGATTACGTAGAGAAAGAGATGGATTTCGAACTCTCTTCTTTTGAAGTCAATGGGAAAACTAATTGCTGTTTAATATTGGGTTCGCCCTGTCATCTGTCACTTAAATCGTGCCTGATTTTTTTCTAATTTAGTCAAATTCTTACGTAAGCTACAAAAGGGTTTCTCTGGGTCCTACTGATTTACAAACTATGAGAGAAACTTTTGCATTGTATGTAAATATGCAAATAATGGTTGCAAATTAAGGATCATGATTTTGATCCAATTTGTCTACTTGCATACATAATCACAAAAAAGGCTAAAGGACAAGTTCATTACGTAGATATTTCTTGTCCTATTAGCGCCGGAAGGGGTGACCTACTCCGAAACTATTCATTACGTGGAAGAAATCACATCAAGAAATCGTTTTGATTACACAAATTATGTATTCCTGATTTATTCATGATTTCACAAAATTATTTATGTACTTGCAAAATTACGCGATGACGGGAACACACATTGTTTACTGCGGCAGTTTTCTAAATTTATATAAACCCATTAAACCCACAAATAATAAGCATAATGTTCTTTTTTTTCCCTACATAGTTCTCAATTCTGCACTATAATTCTTCATACACGCATCCATGCCCAAGCTAATGGTGATAAGGTAGCAGCAGCAGAATAAGTGAATAAATAGTACGCTGAAGGCCACCATCATTCTCATGGCATGACATCCTCCAATTATTTAAATTTTCAATTAAGGCATTCAAACTAGGAATATATTTCAATTTTCATTTCAGCCCACGACTAAATCATGCCCTGGTGCTGGTAAGTGCATACATTTGCTGGCTGTCTGATCATATTAAGCAATAAGACGAAAATTAAATTAAACAAGCCGGATGGGAATTCTGGACGAAAGTATTACACACGGCCAGCCAGCCAGACAATCATCATCCCACACACAACAATCCTAGATATGTGTGTACCCTGTCACTTACTCAATTCCTTAATTTGAGGCATTTCTTGGTGTAACCACCCAAAACCAAGTAAATTGTATGTATGTAAACGGGAGCTGAGGCAAATCCATCCAGAAAAGTGTAGAGTTAGTCATTATCTACATGCAACCGTGATGATGATGAAGGTAAAAGATAAGTGAAAAGGTAAGCGTAATTCGGTTGGTGTGAGTCGTGATTTTATCCTGGTAGCATTATTTCAATTGAGAAAGAAATCATACGTATGCTTCAGGCGAGCTAAGGAATAATAACTTTTTCAAGAATTGAAGTTTGCTAGAGAAGAATGGGATTGGTTAGATTTGCAGATTTAGAGTACCCGACCGAGGAGAAATCACTGTGTCGAATTCTGCAGTAAAGTAATGGACAAAAGCTCGATGCATATTGTATTCTGAATAATTTTTTATATATAATTTTATGCAGAAAATTTGTTTTATTCTGCATTCTGCAGAACTGTGTGTGCATATTTCTGCATACTTTTCTGCAAAAATTGCTCTGCGTAAAGTTTTTCTGTAGAAAATTGGGCCAAATTTCTGCAGGAAACTCCGTTCAAATTTTTACTCGGGAACATACAATAAAATGAAACTTCATAAGAATAAAAACGCTACAATTTCATAAGTGTGTATGCCTCATATCTCAATTTTATGGTTGGATGCATACATAAATTCGATAAAACTTTTACCATTCATATACCCACAGAAACTTATCTCGATTAACTTTTCTTGTTACCTGTCCAAACCAATTAATTAAACGTCTAACTTAACCAGTAGCAGTGGTAGGCTTACTAACGCACCCACTCCTTCGTTCGTTTTTTCTTCTCCTTCTTTACTTAATAAAGGTCTGTAGTTTTAGTTAAAGAACTCGGATTACGTATTATGCATTGTATTCGTAGTTGGTTGGTTAGGTTCTTTCGTGCGAAAATAATGATAGGCTTCTCCACTCCGGAGTGTCGATGGTGTGATTGATTAAAGCATTACGTGGTGGTGGAGGTACGTGGTGGGTGTTTTGTTATACAATGCAAGTGGCACAACGAGTAATTATTGTTTAATGTAAGTAAAAGGATAAAATAAAACCACTCCAACTTTCGGATAAGATTAACTTTGTTTCGAGAATTTGCTTGCAAAGTTGCAAGTCTATTATTATTATTATTCGTGGGGGTGTATTTTTCAGTGCAAATTCGCCCAACAGACATTTTGGACATAACACACTCCATACGTACATATTTAGCAAACACGCTCCACCAAATAAGTAAACTTTATTAAAGTATGCAAATTGAATTTGTTTCCATTTTTAGATTTATTTGAGATGTATGTACACACATAAACAAATATTGCCATAAATTCGATAAACGTGTCTCATCCTGGTGTCACGAGCAGTGTGATAATTTTCAGAGGTGGGCAAAATATTCTGTCAAAATCTACTATTTTGAGGTCGGTTATTCCCGTGGTTTGGATTTCCAGGGCTGTTGCACCCACAAAAAGGCGAGAATTTACATGGATAAGACAGAAGGCATACGAAAATACGGGTTTCGTGAAGAAATTAACTTTTTATTGCTGTCAAAATATGTACTTTATTTTTAACAATTGTGAAAACCATGCATTTTGACAGCGATAAATTAAGTTTATTTCTTCGCAAAACATGGAATATTTTCGAAACTGACTGCTGTCTTCTCCGCAGATTTTCGTCTTTTTGTGGGTGTAACAGCCCTGTAAATCCAAACCCTGGGAAGAACCGAGTTCAAAATACTATATTTTGACAAAGTATTTTGCCCACCCCTGCTAACATTACATATCTCAATAATAAATATAATGTGATTAGTATATTTTATTAACTCGTCACCCTTCCCTTAATTACTGCATTCTCTTAACTATTTCTTAAGAATGTAATTCCATACGACGTTGTCTCAGCTCATTAGTCACACTCCTTATCCCACATGACACACCAGCCTTTGTTTCATTATCTGACGAATAAAATCAATGCTGCACGGATCACTATGCATACATACACTGACCACACGAGCCTGTTGTACAAATTATTATGTGCTAAAAGTAATGATGATGTTGTTTTTCATTCATTTAAATCAATTTGCAACTTTAATTCGTCGTGCAAAAGTCATCCTACATAAATCCAATCATAAAAAATTTAACATTTCCATTCAAAAAAGTTGTTTGACAATCAGATAATTTACTCGACTAATTGATTGATATACGCAGTGACCAGCCAGTTACTGCTTTGTGGGGAGCGGTGATTATATATTGCACAAATTGAAACAAATAGTAACAGCTTAGCAAAAAAAACCTGTAGGAAGAAATTGTACTCAATTCAGTAATGAGTTAAAGGTAGCGAAAACTTACCCGATATTATTATTGCCTATGCAACATTTCCTTACTATTAAACAAGTACGATTATGCGATCCTACGGCACGAATTTGCATATGTAGATAAGGCATCTTTGCAAATAATCTAATCTAATCCGCCCGTGTGGTCTTGCCTTCCCACCTGTCAAGCTAAAACGTATCTCATTCCATCCTAAAGAACCAATTAAACATAACAGACACGATTCCGGTGAAAATTACGGCATTAAAGTATCAAAAATTCCAGGGGCACCCAGCTCATTTCATTTCATCCTCTCCGTCCGTTGTTAATAAATCAATAAAAATGTACTCCTAGCACATGGGGTTAAATAAAGTTGCCAAAAACGAGGGGATCGTAGTCCGTTATCGAAATTATTAGTGTGACACAGTAGAAGTTAGAAGAACCCACTGACAAATGAGTGTCGGCTTGGATGCGATGATGATGATCTAGGAAAACTGCCTTCGTGTGTGGTCCAGCCTCAAGTTAACTCACTCATTGCCCACCAAACTCGTAAGGATAAGCCTACATCATCACAGACAAAACATGGTTTAAAGGAGCAGCCTCAGCCAGCCACTTAACTCTTCATTCACTTTTATAACGTGCGAGTGCGAGGGAGCGAGTCAATAATATTATTACCAGAAGAAGAGGAAGAATCACAATTTACTGTCTCTTCTTCTTCTTATCATTATTACTGCAATGCCTATGCCCTGAATGTAATGTAATGCATCCGCGCATCCGTCGGCTGCCAGGCCAGCAGCACGTTCAAGTAACACTTTGGTGATAATTTGATACCTTTTTCTCACTCGGGTCGTGTTGTGCAAGTCCGTTCCGTAATGAGAGAATTTCGCCTTTCCTCCACTCCTCTTCTCAAATTAACATCTACTTGATGAGAATAACATTCAGGGTGAGATGAATTTGCGAAATTGGGTTAAAAATAGTTCGTGAGAGAGGAAGATCATTCATAATTGAGGTTAAATTGTGCCAAAATTATATACATGTCGAAATATTTTTTTAGCACATATTTTGATTCAGAATTTTATTTCAAAATTGTAAAGATGTGAGCGCATAGGTTTTCTCACAAGTTAAGTCAAGTCATAAGTCATTCAAAATTAAGCTTAAATTGTGGCGAAATTATATCTTGCAATATTTTTTTAAATATTTTTTAAGCATACATTTTGATCAAAATTTTATTTCAAAATTGTTAAGATGCGAAGGCATCATTGTTCAGTTTTTCTCACAAGTTAATAAAAAAAGTTAACAAGGTAGTGGCGGTGGTCTGTTAAAGCAACCCACAAAATATGCATGTATCGATGAAAAAAGAGTCTCACATGACGCTGATTTCGATTGGATGATGCTTACTCACTCACTGCTAAACGTATTCACCACAACATTTTACGTATGCACACCGAGTGAATTGGATTGGATTGGTGAATGTTAGATGTTTACCTTGTTAGCTTGGACGGAAATCCAATAATTGAGCCGGAATTTCTCACAAATAGTTAAAAAATCCTCGTCTCGTTAACTCTCGGTGGTGAAGGAATGATAGAAAGGATTAGGATTTTTATGCCTTTTTTAATAAGTGACCGACAACAAACTATGTAATCGATGATGGTCAAGCAATCAGAAAACAGCTCTCTGTTCGCCGGACCGCCGATGTGACGTGATTTGATTGTGCAAGCTACAGAGTTGGACCAAAAATCGTCTTTGTTTTTGCCGATTTTAATGGATTCCCTTGTGGTTTTGGCCCATTTGCTATACACACAAAATAAATATGAGTTCAAAGAAATCTTCAAAAAAACGAGAACAATTCTCAAATTCAACAGTCACATGAAACCTTTGTTCCGGAATAAACCTAGACAGCGAAATAAGTATTACATCATTTAACTCTTTATTAATTTGTTTTGGTTATATCTTTGCAACTTTCTCTATGCATAAAATCCATATTTTTTAAAGTTGGGTTGCATGCACTCTTAAAAATAATGTTTGCCTTTTGGTAAGTAAATGCATTCGTAATTCTATATTAAATAAAGTATACTAAATCCAGAGTGAATTTCACTCTGTTACCGTTAGATTTAGTTTTGCGACAATTTTTCGCTTTTTTCTACGCATATTTTGATAAATGAATAGCAGATAGAATTCGAAATATCGACAAAATAAAAAGTTTTCCCGTTTTCCGCTAAAACTTCCGTGTAATCCAAATTAATTTAGAATTGAGAGTGCATTTACTTTTCAAAAGGGTGAAGGGTAAGACTATTTTTAAGAGTGTGTGTATTTATGGTTTGGAATATTTTGGATCCGATATAATTATGTATATTAGATTATTGCTGTGATTATACTTTGTCGTAGTTTTTTTATATGATCATTGTAACTTACAAAACTTGATATAGTTACTATTTATGTAATGTACAGTTACACACAGTCGGGGCAATATGGGAATAAAGTTAACTATTTATTCGTTATTATTGCTTATTACACATTAGTCTTAAACGCATTCATGAAGTAAAACTGCGTCAAACAAAATGCACAAAGCATCACTCATTATTCAGCGTCGGTTTACTTTAGTCTAATTTAGAACCACGTTATTAACTAGGTGTCAATCCAAACTGAAATTTAATCAAACCTTGGAATTATATAAGCTTTCTAATAAATTGTCAACCCGTGAATCCAGAAGTGAATTAAATAAACTCATGAAAAATGAGAAACTGCAACGAAACAGGAATGAGACCAAGTTTACGTATTTACGTGTCCCCTCAATGAATAAATGTCTCATTTATTTGACTCGTCTGTGTGAAATCTGTCTCCTCATTAATAAAGTAGCAAATGTCCCTCCAGCCTCTGACCCCAACCACGTTACGTTATGCCCCTCTTCATTTCATATCAAATCCAATCCAGCATCAGGAATGTTAACAACTAACTTGCAACCAATGTTCTTTCCACCGGATGGAATTTGATCCCAGTAAATTGCTTCATTAATGAATTTTTCCCTCTGTCCCACTACACAAATAATACGACTCGAAGCAGCAGCAAAATGATGTCCCGAAGGAAAAATATTTATTTTAATCAAAATTCCCTCAGATTGATTGAAATCTGAAAGAGTGAGATGATATCGGGGTTAGTTTTTGGTGTCGTTGTTTTCTGATTTTGTCACTTGTCGTGTTATTTAAGGGGTGCTTAAACAAAAAGGGCAACAGTTGGTAGGTGCTGGTTTCGTGTAGTGATTGATGATGCCTTAATTTAATTTATTTTAATTGAATTTAATGCAATTCATTTATTTATTTATGGGTGAGTTGTGAGTGAGCGAGTGACTGGGTGAGAGTGATCTTATCCAAACTATTTCTGTATTTTTTCATAAGTATTTAAACATTTATTTGTAGCATGCAACACAAACGGACAACAACGGTACTCGATTTTTGGCATTATTGATTGATTTCTGAGAGCTTATTCTTCTTCTTCATCACGAGACGACCTTCTTCTTATCGACGAATAAGTAAAATGTTGAAAAGTAAAAAATAAATTTGCACACGAGTGAACAATAATGATTATAAATATGTATTTAGTATGACTGAGAGGAGGTTGGCTGCGTTTTATACTGTCTTCTGTACTACTCGAGACGAGGGCTATTTTAGGGTAGGGACACTACTACTCTTTTTTTACTACTACGGCTGTATGTACATAATAAATTACATCATTTCCATCATCATTTCGTCATCTTCGTCAACAGGAACGGTGGAGTGGTTGTACAGTCCTTGGGCCATTAGTTGCATGGCTAAAAAATATATTTCGATATGTAACCCTTGCTCTCTATGTAAGTATTTATGGTATAAAAAGATAGTAAAACTAACCTAAACCATTCTTGGTACCTGTGGACTTTTTCAGCTTTGCACGCTTATTCTGGAAAAATTTAAAAACAAAATTATAGCAATGGTACTAAAAAAAGTGAGATGAAACGAGCTTAGGTTTGGAAGATATGAAAATAGTTTTTAGAATAATTAGCTCAACAATAATTAAATAATGATACAAAGAATAGGAGTGGCTTAAAAGATAGTTGTCGGAATAATTAACTTAAATTAGCAATAATTAAACATTTATTCTCACCTGAAACCAAATTTTGATCTGGTTTTCATGCAGCTTCAAGTCGCGAGCGAGATCTTGCCTCCTTTTTTCCGTAAGGTAGCGATTTTCGTCAAATTCTTTCTTCAATTTGGACAACTGTTCTCCAGTGAAAGCTGTCCTCGGCCGCTTTTCTTCCGGGATTTCACGTGGAGATTTCCGTATGCGGCGAGATCTGGGACCTGTCAATAAAAAATATAATTTTTTTTCTTATTTTCAATTGCCGAGAAAATGGATCTCTTTAAATTATCCATTCCACAAAGGACTGAAATGATTCTTAAGCTAATTCCTATTTGAGTGAGACACCCACTCCAATATAAATAACGACGCGTTAAGTAGTTTCATGAGAAAATATCATCTCTGTCAAACCCACCCACTCCCTCAATCCTTCATCCATCCGTTCATCCATTCACACACAGCCATCCACCCACTTTGCTAATATGTCCAACAACAAGTTACACAATTGTGGATTACACTTGTCGAGATGAGACGAGTTGATTTAACACGTTAGAAAAATGAAACCCACCCTGGTGATCATCCTCAAATCCTTAATCACCCACTTAAATCTGAGTGAGTATGTAACATGACAAAAGTGCATGCGCTTCTTCTCCCAAGCACCAAGCTCGGTGTCAAAACTCTCTTAACGGATTATCCCATAATCCATAATAATCCACGTGGGACAAGCAAGAGGGTGACTCTCTGTCATGTCGAGATAAGCAAGCAAAATGGAGCATGAATCCCTATTTAATTCAAATATTCGGATTTAAGTCGGTAGGAAAATTGAGTTTGCATTAAGATCTATGACTTGATTACTCCTTTCTGAATAATTTGACAACTTAAGATCACTTATTTTTGACATATGTGACTTGATTAAAATCTCGACACATGCGATTATCTCATACAGTTCTCACCCACGAGGAGAGCTGATCACTAAATGAAGCACAATCTCTCCATACATTTAGTAGCACTGTACTTACTTGAGCGTAATCTGTGTAATAAAACTTTTACGATCCTTTTTTCCACATGAGTTAAAAGAATTCTTGATTTTATATTACAATCTACCAATATGCACTTATGAAGAGTAGTGCCATCACTGGTGCCATCAGTCGAGATCAATTACCTCATTTAATATAAATCTCATCACTGCGCACTCCTCGTGTACCTTACACTTAACTGCTTCACACCATCGTATCAAGAGGTTGAAAGTGTTGGCGAGGTGAATGGCGATGCAGATAAGGTTTTATTGCCTTATTTACAATTTAATTTATAACACAATCAAAAATCGATTAGGGTTGAATTGCCCACGAAGAAAGAGGAGTAAGTGGTGGACACTTGAGTCAATCATCCACTCCACTCAATCATTCAGGAAAATGCTCAACAAGTCAAGAAAGACAGGTTTGTATTATTATTTCGTTAAGGGTTAAAATTAAAATGAAATGGATCTCGTGAATAAATAAAGTATTATAAAATCCTACTGCAAATGACTCCTCGATAAAATTTGATTAGGTTTTTCCAACCAATTTAAATATCCGTACTTGTAAAATTGAATTATTTATGTGTTTACTAGCTTGATGTGTGCATGCAGGTTGTTGCAATAATGCTGTGAATTGGACATGGGTGGATGATTGACCGTAGCCGTTCTGCCAGTTTAATTAAGAGTGAGGTATTTTGTTTGAGACTGGTGATAGGCAAGGTTGAGCGGAGTCAGTCGTGTAGATTTTTGTAGCAAGAGTCAAATGTCAATTAAAAGTGTCTAAAGTGACATTTGCAGGTCGTGATGAGGTCAGGCATATGGGGAACCTATTACTAAATTTGAATACGTATGCACATATTCCAAAATTCGATCCCTGTCGTAGAATATTTTTTTACAGAGTCACCACTACTTTAGAATTTATGACTTAATGCATACATATTTTGGACTGTGAGGAATCTATTTCGTCCAGATTACAAATATTTTCGTGCAAATAAAATCATCTACGTGTAAAATTTCAACTTGCAATTTACATAGGAAAATATATTACCAAGCTGTGACAGAAAGCTTTGACTGGCATCACTAATGTGCATACATATTTATGGAATGCAATACTATTATTATTACATCCCTGTAACGAAGGGATTTTTTAATGCAATGGATTTTATTATTGTTATAAAAACAACAACTACCACCACAAATCGGTACGTTATGGACAACGCTACCAATGAATGATGACGCGAATGATAAATGGGCTTAGTATTGACAAAACAAGGTGATAAGTATTATGCGAGTCAAGTGTGGCCGGGTATATGCACCTATTGTGACCCGATCCTACCTTCTTATGAGCCTACTATTTACCTACCCATCGTAAAGTTTCAACGTGAGAATCTTTTCCCGAACTAATAAAATGCACAATCATAAATCTCTCTCACCTGAAGAAGGTCTATCAGAGTATCTCGTGCAGTAGACCCAGGCCGGCCTGTGGAAAAAATTGCATGCATTAAAAAAATATTTCCAGAATTTAATCTTCAAAAAGGCACTAATTTTACTAATTATTTTACTAATTATTGCAAATATTTCCCAATTTTTTAACTTACCACAATAATGGACCTTCAGGAACGGGTGGGTTGACCTAGAAAATTAATCATTAATTAGTTAACTTTACTATTTATGATTTACAAATTTCTGAAGAAACAAATCCAAGAAAATTAAACTCACCTTTGTATCGTCCACAACTTCGGGTTCTCTCCGACTGCTGCTGCAGGACCCATTCGAGTCCTCAGAGTGATAAATGACACTTCCCGGACCAGGTTTGTAGGGGCGATGTCCTTCCGTCGACGACACGGAGGACGAGCCCCCCTTCGCCACTCGCCCACTGACGCTGCTTCCACCACCCCCACTGCTCCCCGGACTTGGCAGCAGGGGTCCAATCCTCGCCCTTTTTATTTGCTGCTGCTGCTGGTGATGATGTTGGGCCAAGAGTTGAAACTTGGTGAGACCAAAGTCGGGTCGAAGTATGTCTTCAATCGAGAATTTAAGCGATGCTGCTGCCGTCTCACTTTTTCCATTCTTCACATTGCTGGACAGATTAAGCCCAAAGTTTGAGACTGCGAAGGGTCTGAAGTTGAAACAGGGTGAGGAATTGGTTCCTGATGATGAGAACGATGAGCCACCACACATCGTTGCCGTATTCGTGGTCGTGGTGGTGGTGGTGGCAGGGCTGATTTTATTATGATTCGATTTGTTGTCGTCATCCCCATCAACATCAATGTCCCCCCCTTCATCATCATCGCTATTGTCATTATCGTCGTCATCATCGGTTAATTCATCGTGCCGGTGGTCCTTACTCCTTTTGTGACTCTGATGACCATTATTATCACTGTTCTGAGCAGATGGCCTTATTGGCATGAATGCAGTACGGCTATGATTATGCGAGTGATTTACATCCTTATCCTCCCCGGATTTCCTATTGTTAATTGGAAACCTATTATTGTGACAGGGTCGACCCAAGTCGTCTTCAGGGGACTCGACCTTTATGCGGACTTGATCGTCTTCATTATTATTATTTTTATTTTTATTCATGTGACGTGAGGATTCTGCGGGAGGTGGTGAGATTATTTTGGGACAGTAGCATTTTCCACTTTCACCACCCGTCTCACTCACAGTGCTGGAGATTGAGCCTTGCGAGTTGGACGAGTCGGGGGAAAGTGACATTCGTCTCGAGGAGGACGCCGTCGTCGTAGAGAGACTGTTGTTACAAGAAGAAGAAGAATTGCCAACTAACCGTTCTACAGGGAGAGCCAGCATCTTTTCCACCCTTTTTAAATAGTCTATGTGCATAATACAGTACTTGTCACGGAGGAGGAGGAGGACTTGGGGCAGGGTGATAACCTACGACGACTTCTTCTTCCGTTGACCGTATTCAAGTTTGATAAAAAATGCTCATGTGTGTGTGCAACGAGTGGGTTTTAAAAGGAGAAAAGCCGGTCGTCCTCCCAACAATGCGGGATGATTGACAGTTGGGTTGGATTTGTTGTTGGCCCTTTTTTCCCAACAATGGAGTTCTTATTTGGATACGATACACGCGGTTGGGTTATGGATGTTGCTGGTGAGTTAATTTATTTTATAAATCGCTTACTTTTTCATGCACATGGTCTTTTACGGTGGCTGCAGTTTCCTATGTCGATGATCGTGGTGGTGGTAGTGGATGGAATAATAGTGATAAAGTGAGGTGTCATGTCAATCTATCTTCACTCGCATTCAAAGCGTATATCACTTACTCACTCGCACAAAGGGAAATTCTTCTTAATGAATCTGTTCAACATTTGTCACTTTGCTAATTTTTCTTTGTTTTTCTTTTTGCACTTGCAATTCTTTTTTTGTATCTTGTTGAAAAAAATGAGATCAGGTAAAAAACTGAGAATTTGTGTCTGTGTACTTATGTAAATTGAGAGTCGTCTCAACTTGTCACCTTTCCTCTCGCTCTGAGGAGCAGGAGTCGTCGTAAGTGCAAACTCGAACTGAAGTGGGTCTGAGTAAGATGTGATCTTTTTGAAGGGTTCTTAACTTTTCTTGAGTGACTTTCTTCCCAATACGGGGAGAAGAAGAAGATTCACCCAATGTGACCAACCAATATTGGGCGATAGGTAGGCAGCAGCAGGTGATATACAAACCTTCTTGCGTGTCGTCGTATCATATGATATGGTCACCTCAGAGAAGAAGGGAGAGAGCGAGATTGTGGGGATGGTGGTTGGTGTCCGTGTCCTGCCCTGCCTGCCTGTCCTCTGACCACCAGCGATTTGATGTTTGACGTCTAAATACGTCTAAATATCCACCCAAAGCCAATCCTCTCCAAAATCCAAACAAAGCAAAGAAAGCTTCTTTGAGTAAGTCGTCTTCCTTTAACTCTCTGCTCGCTCTATATTGCTTCGTGGGTATGGACGGATATGTGTCCCTTTGCATTTACTATGTGCTACGTACGTACGTAGGAAAGGGGTTCAGACTGGTTGGTGTTGGTAAAATGTCAGTAAGATTCGCCACGCCGATGGATGATATGAAATTGACAGGAGTGGAGTATGTAAAGCCATGATGTTATGAAAACGGGCTCTATCTATATTAGTATATGTACGTCGGTATGTGCAACTTTTTAAGCCAGAGTAAGTACAATAGCTGCTTGCTTTAGTTGAGGGCTGTCACATCTCTTCATTTGCTGTAGGGAAGCCTTCTCTAGTAAAAACTTTACCTAGCTTTTACATATGTACAATACTCCACCACTACTTTGTGTCATGACCGTGGTTTTAAGCCCAAACCAACTCCAACACGAAACTGGACGCTGGATGAATAAAGTGCATGCTCAGTTAGTCGCAGGTTTAGATGGGGGTTACGATTTCAAAAAGAGTGACGTTTCAGGAGCGTGTAAGAACAGCGTTGTTTTTGTAATGCGGTCACACCGAATGGTAAAATCTATCTGGATCCCTTACATTTATTTTGCATGCGCAATTTTAGCTTAAATTTGCGTATGCAAAATGAAAAATAAAAAGTTAACCAGTTAAAATTTGCAACTGTTATTTTAAATTTTGTAAAAAAATTTGTAAAAAAAATCATTTCTACTTTCTATTTCCACTTTCGACGTCGAAATCACCCAATTTATAAACGCTCTCAAACTCCACTTCTTCATCTGGAGGGGATTCTCCGGACAAAAAGCGGTTCGAGGGGTGGAGCAGTATCCTCTCTTTGAACGCCCTGCACGTTCGCCAGCCTCCAATCCGGTCCGCCGACACAAGGCGAGTTGTTGGGCGTTTGCTCCAGCAGAGAAGTTGTCGCGGTATAGCAACGTCTACCAGATTCGACACGATATATGCGCCACAATGGAGAGAAGCAGTTTGTATAAAATCATTATATCATCACGGCTTAAAGGATTTGTACGGATTAAGCTTATCTCCACCTCCACTTCTTCTCCTTAAGCGACTCCTTACACACATACTACTCTTCTTGTCCTCTCTCTCTCTTATTGAGCTATATACTTGACAAGTCTTCATTAAATTAAATTAAATTATTTGCTGCCAGAATAACACATCACAATTGCAACTGGCTCTTCTTCTCGGGAGAAAAAAAGTTGGCAAACTTTTTCATGCAGCTCTTTCCTATTTATTCATTCATTTCATGGTGATGATGATGCGATGCGACTCATTGTGTCGAGGAACTACTGAGCATCTGCATCTGCATCTCCTCAATGGTGTCATCTTATTACAATGTCACATTTAGTGTGACACCCATTCAGCTGGCTTCTTGATGCCGGATTATTTTTAGACTTTATGTACATGCAAATGCTAGAGATGCGTATTTATCTCTCCAGAAATGAATCCCAGTCAGTTGTGTCTGCACATGCTTCTTTTGTCTCTGTCTTTGTACGAGTGTTGACTGTTAGTCATTAAATCATCCGTCCATTCTTCTAATACGACTGACACGGGGATCATTACACTACTACCCACATTGGTGGAAGAAGCAATAAGCAATACATAAATAATATCTGGGACCACCACTACCCCTTTGAATAATAAAGAGGAGAAAGATTTAAATTTTTTTGTGCCTCCCCGTTCCACACCATCTTTTGAATTATCTTTATCTTTATATCTCACACAGCCCACAAAATATCTAAATCTATTGAGTTGCATGAATGTGATGTGTTTGTTAAATAAATGTTAGCTGGCTGGAATTTTATTCAATTCTTTAACCCCTGCTTTTGACCATCGGGATGAGATGAGCTGAGCTGTAATGAAAATCTGGTCGGTCGGGTCCATCCTTTTGTGTGCGTATGTACATGTTGTTAGTCTTGTCTGTTATTATCCCTGTTTTGTTATTACACAACCTTCCTCCTTTCTAAATACCTTCGTTCCATGCGTTGAATGCGAGGAAACCAAGCTGTACACATAAAAGCGAACCATCAAAGTCAGGGTTTATCTGGGAAGGGAACATGATGCACATTTCATTTCGGTGTTTTTTTTCTCTCTATGCTGTTATATTTCGAGCCGAGAACAACAATGAGAATGAAATGTTGCTGGTGAGAATTCAATTTCAATTTGGTCAACCATGCCATAATCGTGGTGCTATTATTGCTGAATGAAATCTACTTAATGGAAAAAATTGTAACTTTTAAAATTGTAATGTATATAAAAAAAGCTTTTTAAATTGTGTTTCGTAAAAGTCAGTCATATATATTTAAGCAGAATTTATAAGCAGAATTTCCTACCAGTACAAATGTGCTGGACGGATACGACTAAATTGTTATAGGTTGTCCAAAGTTCTCTCTTGATCTGTTCGATACATTTCTACGTGACATGATGGCAGATGCAGAACTAATGCACTGTACTTGTGTAACAGCTAAACTAACCGGCATCCGTTATTGCGCATTCATCTTTTGGCTCATCCAAAACCCTATTCACTTTCTATCTCTAAGAGGACAAATAATAATCCTCATCTGTCCCTCTAATAAATTATGATGTGCTTATTAACAAAGCAAACCTGGAATTTCGAATGGATCCAATCCAATTGAATTGTATGAAAAGTGAGCAGATTGAGACGAGACGAGGATGATTCTACCGATTTCAACTTTTTCACACAATTTCGTCCCATTCTTCCCATGAAGACATTAAAACATGGAGCAAATCCACTACACATAAAGGTGGTCCAATCCTTCGATTTGCTATGCATGCATGCCGAGATACTAAGAAGATGCGATGACTGCGTTGAACATCTCTCGTCGTCGTCTTCTTCTTCATCTCCATCATTAACAAGATTTTGTTATTCGCCCGGGGGAGAAATTCTCTCGAGGAGAGAAGATTGGCTGGATGAAGCAGCAACTCCTAAGGTCTGGAGAGCTATTACAAACTACATGATGATGAGTAGAAAAAAAGTAGGAAGAATCATCATGGCTGTCTTCTTGCTGCCTGGTTGGTTGGTCTAAAATGTTCTTCTCTGCGCCTGAGATAAATAAATTACAGATTTTTTTTTCGAGAGCGAGAGAGCAACAGTAATTTTATGGCTTATTGTCCTCTTTCTCTCTCCCTCTCTTCTTACTTGGCCAGACTTTTGTTTTGTTATGCGTTTAAAATGATGTGCTGGATTTACATTTTCAGAGAGAGAAAGATTAGTGAGGGATGTAAGTAGTAAGATAGACATTAGTTTGTTAAGCTGTAGGTGGAATGGAAGTGGATAAATAATGGGGGAAAAGTCGTTAAAATTTAGATTTAGACGTAAAGTGCATTATGAGCTAGGTACATTTTTTAAAGTAAAAAATTCAGCTCGACGAAAGTGAAGGGAACTTGATTGTTTTGGTTTAGAGGATTTTTCCAAAACTTTGAAACTCGAGTTTCGCGTGGTTCGATCGAGATGCATTAAGAATTATCTAAAACTCCGGAAATATTTAATTTTTTGGCAACCCCATATTTGAACTATGCAACAGTCTATGTTGTATATCATTTCAGCGTTATTTATGCCTGCCTGCCTGCCTATGCACCATCAATCTTCTGTCCCGAGGAGCAATAAAGATTTAACTTTTCCCCAGTTAACTTGTACCTATTTGCTTCTCTCGTGCAATAATAATGTGACCAGAATGAACGTGCTCACTTGCCAAGTTTTTGGACTGGAGCCGCAATAAAAATAAAGTTAACACAAGTACTACTTTAATAAGTATGCACTCGAAAATCACGGCCGGCAGGTTCAAGCGAATATAATAATAAAGTTGAGCCAAAAGGTAAAAGTAATTACACGCGTTGTTAATGCAAAAGTCTATCCTTTCCACTTTTTCATATCGCTGCATTGAGTCATTTCTCGCTTGACTTCATTTGAAAATTTGACAGGGTTTCGTGTCCTGTGGACAGGTGGGGATTTTACGATTTGCATTCGACTTTGGCAAAGCTGATAAAAAATATGGGCGATAAATTACACAAACTCTGCCTCCACATTTCTCCAGCGATTATGCAGTAATCTTCTCTTTTCTCAAAATTAAGGGAAACAAAACCCTTAATAGAAAAACGACCCGATTAAATACACATACGTAAATATTATGTACATACATACGCCAAAAAGTTATGAATATCTGTATACCCGTAATCCCGTGGATCTCCTCGACCAGTCCTAAATATTCGTAATGACATGCCAGCCATGCATGGCCGATGGATATTTAGATATTATCGGATAAAATAAAAGTTGGGGCAAAAACGTGGACGACTTGTAATAAAAATTCAATCTAAAATCCAGCCCGCATTCGTAGTGGCCAAAACTCAACCCTTTCATCAGCATATCATATTCGGTACGTTTACATATATTTTTTTTACTTTCGGGGCAGTACTTTCGTAATAATTCTGGTTATCGTGTCAGCAATAAAAAATGCGCAGAGTTTATAGTAGTTACGATAAATACATTGGACTTTATTATTTTTTGCTATAAGGCATTCCCTCCTCGCTAATAAAGTAATGTGTAATGTGAGCAAGGTAATAATAATAATTGTAATCTTGTTGCTTTGCTTGGTCGTTGGTTCGTTCGTTCGTAGTTATTTATTGTGTTTGCCTCTCCAAATTTTGTTGTTGAAATGAAGATCAAAATCGATTTTGTTTCGGGCCAATTTCCCTTAAAAGTAAAATATTTTTCCTCTATTTATCAAGGATATTATTTCAACCTGGTAAAAAATTCACCAGTCAGCATCATCATTTATCTAATGGGGCACATAAATAAGTCGAACCAAACCAATTGATTGGCTTATACCGTTTTCTGTTTGTTGGTCTGGTCGGACCATCATAATGATTATTGAATTTATGTATCTGTGGCAGACAAATACCAATTTTTAGCAGTTATATAAACACAACGTTTTATTTTATTTTTAGTAAAAATAAAAATAATGACGAATTTTTCAATTATCCCAATTTCCTAAAAACCTAGACAAATTGTGACGCAATTTGGTAGCCTTGTTCTATTTCTGATATTCTGGATGTGCTAAATCCTTTTATTATTGGTGGATTTTTTTCGGTTATTTTCACCTTATTTGAAGAATATTTCCGAAATGCAGTAAAAATGGTGTGAT